CGAGGGGGTCTCGTCGTGGCTAAATCCTTAAGGGGTCTTCTCCCATAACACATCCTTGATTAAGTGGATGATCGATTGGGGTAAACTCGCTCAGACCCCCTATGGTCCTTACCTTAGACTTGAAACTCCTCAAGCAGGAAAAGCCCTAGATGCTCCCATCTCAAGGTAATACACAAGCCTTAGTCTCAGGAGAACATAATAATGAAAATGTCATAGCAGCCCAATAAATTCGATAATCTGGTGTAAAAACTCCTGCCCTAGATGTTGAAGGAATAATGACTATTTTGTTCTCAAGTAACCTGACTCTATTGGCAAACAAATTATGGCGCATGGTGTCAATGTAACTTGGGGTGTCTCCTAGAGCAGAGGGAATGCCTTGGTCAAACCCGAACTATAGAGCCACCCAATGTGGGTTATAAGCCATAAGCCCAGTGCCCCGGTCTCCAGCAAATGGAAGGTATCTCTTGGTGGAGCAAGAAATAAAATCAAAATAACAGTCGGCCACAGTCTTAATGGCATCAGCAGTAATAACTACAGGCTCAGCGCGGAAATAGGAAAGTGACTCAACTATAGAGTGACAAATCGCATAAGGGCGAAAGATGAAATGTGACTCATCATCGAGAAAGGGGCCCACTGACCTAGATATAGGGCATTTAGACCACCGTAGTGCTCAGGGAGAAGGACTACCATCAGTAGGTCATTTGGCCTCAAGGGCGGATGCCAAAAAATGTTCAAGTAGGAAGAGTTGTAAGAAGAGGGTAGAGACGTAGCTATTAATGTCGTAACGCCCCATCGAAACAGAGGTCGCCTCCTACAGTTCATCAAGGTGAAGGTACAGGTTCTTGAAAAATAAGGGAGCCAAAGGGATGGTGCAGTCGTGAGCCAACCTAGCAGCCAAAGGAAAAATGTCAGTGCTAATACCATTAGAAGGGGGCTCCAATGTAATGTATCGCGTCAACCACATCGCGATAAAGGCAACCAAGACATGCTCACTTCGGGATCTAGGGCCATCTTGGCCAACACGCTTAAAACCTTTGCTCTTCGCAGGCTTGATGTCCCTAAAAAAGAACCTCACCCAAGATGTGTAAGTACACTTGTGCTCGCCAGCACTACCTCCAATACCAAAAGATAAAGGAAGCCTTGCGGCATTGGTAAAACAGTCAGATAAGTAAGATACTGCGGTAGCCTCGGCAGGAGTAAAATCTCCAGAGGAGTAAATAGAATCTCCAAAAATGGGCAGTAGCACCAGTACCAAGACATCTTTCAAAGTGGGGGTAAACTCACTCCAAGCGGTGACGAAGGTATGAGTCTCATGGCACCAACGAGAAATCAAAAAAAATAGACTGGCATTACGTCGGTTAACGCTAACTTTATGACACAACTTTATAGCAGAAATAATACTGACAGACTCCAAAGTTTCACGAAATACCTCATCTACAAGAATGTGGTCAGACCACTCCAGCCAATAGAAGGAGTAGTTGAGGTCTCAAAGTCAATAAAAGAATAAGGGTAATCTCCCCTCTCCAATGGCATTCGAAACACAAACTCGGGATCGATACAAGGGACCCTATAAAGGTGCGCAGGGGGATCCAGGAATAGTGGATAGGCTGGCTCCTCTCCCTCGGGCAAGGGAGCGCGATACCACTCCTCAGAAGGAGGTACTGGACCTACGCGAATATGACGATGATCGGCCATATATATATATATAAGTGGTGCAGGAAACAAAAATATAGTGCAAGAAAAAGGTCGTGATAAGGCTAGAACACTTGAAAAATTTGAAGAATAGAAAAAGGAGAAGTGCAAAGGTTTAGAAAATAAAGAGGCAAGGTGACTTAGAAAATTTACAGTGAGGAGAAAGTGCCAAGAAATTTGAAGACATGAAAGAAACATGGGATTAGGTAAAAGAAAGTGAAGCCTTAATTTATAGGCAAAAGAGACACTGCCCCATACCCCAATATTTTAAACAGTAGCCTGAGCTTCTTGAACAGCAGCTTCCTTGAAGTTGGACTCACCAGCGGACGCCAGTCCTAAGGAAGGAAAATTACATTGAAAAACTTCTAATTGTTAGCAAGCTAAAACTAGCCTGCAGTCAACATTAAATTTATATCTCGGTCAAAGTGCTATACTTAGAGAACAGATCACACTTTCGGCTGACAGCCAGAAGAGGTCAAAATTGGTGCCAGGAGTGCAGGACAACAATTGATGTCACGTCAGCTCCATCTGTAAATAATCCTTGATAGCTTGGTTTTTGTACCGATGAGTGAGCCGTCAAACCCACCATAGCAACAAGACAGAGGCTTTGTTCAATTGAAAAAAAAAAA